ATTTGGGACCCTGGAGGGAGAGGAGTCAAGACTGAGTGAGGCCAGCTCGCCACAGGCAAGGCAGACTGAGGGAATGCACACATAAATCACACACAGACACATAATACACTACATCACCACATTCATTATGATACCTGGATATAATAGCCAGCCTAGCAGGAGGTTAGTCAAAGTTAGTCACTTCTCTTCATTCTGCAGATTGGAAGACAAAGAGTTAAACAGAATTTTTCCTGGAGCTCTGCTGTCAAGGAAAAAAGACACTGTGTAAACAGAGACTTAACATCAAGCCATGCTCATCGGTGACAAAAATCAGCTAGCCTGAACATCTTCACTAAATTGTCTGTACAGTATCCTACTCTTGGCTGATAAGCGTCTCTGTGTAATCAGCTTGTAAATATTTCATAATCTTGCATTCAGACCATGCAGCTGTAATAAGTTCATTGCACTGAAACATGCATACAATAATGATTTGACTGCACATGTGTGGTTAAAACGTGTTGTAATTACTTTGGTATAAGGATTTAACATGAACACCTGAACATGAAGGACCACCAGGCTGACTCACTTTTAAGTGGATGAGTCCCGCTTTCCAAAGTCATTTATTAGAGTTATTATGTCTTGTAAAAATGCAAAGCTATCACATGCTTTAGTAAACAGGGCAGACGCCAGGCTTGATAGAACCATGGCTGCTGTAGTGAGGTGGAACACATGGCCTCAGGGTATTCTGTATGTGCGCTCTTTTCCTCTGGAGTCATGTCCTTCACTGTTTCTGCATTCACCTGGATATTCTGTGCATTATAGTTCGCGTCAGCAAGAAACCACTGAGTCAGGGAAGGCTTAAAGCAAATACATATTAATTTTCTCAGCCTATATATAAAACAACTCCTCCCCAGACTCAAAAATTGCCCTCTTCTCCTTTCCCTCTCTGTCATGAACACACACACACACACACACACACACACACACACACACACACACACACACACACACACATACTCTTATTCCAGAGACACTTTGCAGAAGCTGTGAACAATTCCCCTCCGAGCTCAGCCTTTTTCCTTTCCCATTTTCCTTTAAACGCAAATGCACCATCCCCCCTTCACTCACCATCTTCAGTTTTGACTTCCTCTGCCTTGCCTTCTTAGTTTTGAAACCCCCCTCTCGCCCCATCTCCAAACCACCTCAGTGGGTGCCAAGCAGTCACAGCAGTGGCTTGATCCTGGCACTTATGAAAGGAGCTCTTTGATAAGCCTTGGCCAGGAGCAACACAAGGGAAGCAATCAGAGACACAAACTCAACTAGAGATGAGGCATCTACTGTGTTTGCTTGTGTGTTTGTGATGTTGTTTTGTTTCTTTGACCTGTTAAACTTTCCTCTTGGAAAAAAAATCAAATCCTTGAAAGTCTCTTTTTTTTACTCTGCCATGTTTTGTGGTTTTCCCTTGTGCACTTCTGAAACTCTTTTTTCAAAACACATTTGTTCTGCCTCCCCATCTCTTTGTAACCAGGGAGAACAACAAAGTGATTAAAAGGGTTTGAGCTGTGTTTGGATGTGGCTGATGCCTGGACACAGTTCTACTGAGGTTGTGGTTTCCTGTTCTTGCCTTGTCCTCGCATCCGCTCACTTATTGTATTTCAAAAGATTTCTCTGTCATCACAGTATGTCATTACAGCTGTGCTGTACAAAACCTGTCTGAGCTCCCTTTAAATAACAATTAACAAAGGCATTGTATGCCTAAAAAATCCATAATGTTGCAGTATTGGCCATGATTTGTATTGGTTATGATAATATTTTACTCACAAACATTGCTGCTTTGGGGTCATTCTGCATTTTTTCCAATGATTGTATCCTTGTATGCTGCTTATATGTCTGAGTGATGCTCAGACATATAAGCAGTCCAGTTACACTTTCAAACAAAAAGCTTGCTTTAGATGGTCGCTCTTTGGTTAGGTTGACACAGAAAAACTCTTCCTTAAGTGCAATTTATACTTCTGCGTCAAATCAACGGCGTAGGTGACGGCGTAGGCTACGGGGCTACACAGAGGCTACACCATCCTCAAAAATGTAACTACACGTCAAGTCAACGCGGACCGTAAGCTCTGTGATTGGTTGGCTGGGTAGCCTCGCAATGCCTCCGAGCCGACCGGAAGTACCCCGCGCTTTGAAATAACATCTACTGGCGGCCAAAATGGCAGCTGTAAAACAGTGAATCAATATATTTCACCGTTGCAACCCGAGCCAAATGACTCGTTTCACTATCAGAATGTGATCTATTCGGTCGGTAACATTTGAAAAGGCTACACCAGCCACACATTTACAATTTTTCCCCCATTTACATTAGCTGAGGGCTAAACCGGAAGCTAACCTGCTCGACCAGCAAAAGTCATCACAGTGGGCGCTGTAGCGCTACTGCCGACTAGCGTTTGGGGGTGTAATTGCAGAATGACGGACACACCTACGCACAAGTATAAATGCATGGCTATGTGCGTAGCCTACGGCGTAGGTACGCACGTAGACCCTACACAGGAGTATAAATGGGCCTTTAGTTTAGTAAATTATGTCACGTAGCTGACGTAACTTAAGCACATTATGTAAGTTTCACACAGGACTCAAATGGAGGTCTCACAATTAAAGTCCTGTCCATCCACCCTGCCTCCTCTGCATTTGGACTTTCTTGCTCTTTATACTATGCACCTGACTTTGATGGCAGTATGTGACAACTTCAGAGTGGGAAGATCGGGTCGATCTTTTTCTATTTTGTAAAGCCTAATCCCTAAACATTGCAGCCCTTGTCACAATTGTCCTGTTGGTCTGGGGAGGGCAGTAGACAGACATGTAACATACAGCATTTCAGGGTTTCAAAACATGTCACTTCCATTAAAATATGTTTTATCACAACCATTGACACTTATGGATTTGCTCCCTATATGTTCCAACAAATCAAGCAAAACAAACCAGCTCCACTGATAAAAAGCTCAGCTGTCACAGCAGTTAACTTCCTCTCCATGTTGTACCTCTTGCTCTCTGTCTGCCTCTTTATTGCTTGTCTCCCTATCTTTCTCATCTCTCTTTCATCACTATCGCTCGCTGTTTGTCCTCTCTGGTGTGCATTGATCTCTGTGGTTCAGAGATTTAGAGATTTGGGGCACAGTGATCTGACTGGCAGTTATAGCCAGCAGGTGTGAAGAACAAACAATGGCCCCCTAAACAAATCCCAAACCCAATTTGGTGCTTGTATGCTTCCTCATATAGGCAAACTCCATGTCTGTTATGAGGAATAAAACAAAACAGGCAAATATACATTGCAGGCACACCTGGTGTGTCAGTTATTTGGGCATGTCTCACACACTCTGCTCAGTATTAAATTAGACAACCAACTGGTGTTGCCCTAGGTTTGCAACTAAATTTTAATCATGATGAAGAGACAGAAATGCAGCAAAATAATATATGTCAAGTGTAGTGGTGACAAATAGTAAGGCATCCTGCTCACAAGAGCTCGGCCCTGCTCAGGCACAAATAGTCCTGTCTAAGCCAAGAAAAGGCAACCATGTGATGTGGGAAGCCAAAAGTTTTAAACCAACTTCACCAGCTGATTTTACTGATGAGCACAAGTTTAAGCAGAGAGTTTGAACTGATCTGTAAAAACACCTGGTCGAATCATTGAAAGCATAGCAGCCCATTTATCCAAAATGGCGTTCACATCATAATGCAACATGCTCAAGAAAACAACTACAACTTTAAAATATTAACCTGTTGAGATTCTTACTTTTCAGACATAATTGTAATAGACTGAATATAACTAATAATTTAAACTTTTGTGACGTGAAATGGCACACCACTGGATGGTGTGTGGGGTGTTGGGCTACAACTGTATTGGCTTCAGTTTTCTGATTCAAAACTGAATCCAATACAGTTCTGAACTGAATCCAATACAGTTCTGAACTGACCAATACCCCGAAGCCAGTACAGCAGCAAACATAACACATACTTCACATGATGACTATGTTTGATTGCCATCTACAGACTTTTTGATTTGCTTTCTTACTTTACCATTCATCACTCTAAGGGATGAAAATGTCAAACAAATGACAACACTGCTGCATATAGATTGTTTTCTCCCAACGAGGACCCTTAATTTGATAAAAACCATGAAATCAATACCTAAAAAAAGACACCAATAAGAAAGTGTGTCAGCGCATTCAGATGGAGAAACAGGGTTATTGACACGGGGAAAAGGCAAAGGGGGGAATAAAATAACAGTAGAAGAGCAACAATGTCAGTGACCCCTAACAGAACGACAGATTGGCTGCTTTTACCTTTAAAAAGTGTAAAAAAAAAACTCCAAGATTGCTGGCTCAGTCACATAGAAAGGTTTTCTTCTACATGTGGTTATATATGTTTCATGTATGTGTAATATGTAATTTAATTTACTGTTCAAGCTGTTAGCTTATCAGTTCATTCTTGGCATTAACTTTTGTAATTAGCACCTTTTTTTTATTTGAGAAGCTGCTAGCATTTCCTGGCATAGCAGATTTAAGTGTTGTCTTGTGTCTGTGCACATATATGCATGAATCTCTAGAACCCACCTCCAGGAAAAGAAAAAAAAAGATTGTCTTCCACAGCTCCATCTTTATTTTTAGAGGCTGGATGCTGATGAGGGAGATGAGAAAGCAAGGGAGTGAGAAAAGACATCAAAAGTGGGGAAAAGGAGGGAGAGAAAGGAGAGAAGAAAGGAGAGTGATGAAAGAGGGGGAACAAGATGGTCAAGGGGGTTTTGTGTTGGTTCTTGGGTGAGTCAGGAGAGTGGAAGAAAGATTTGCAATGTAGTCCTTCCTCTGAGTGAGCCGGAGAGAGAGAAGGGGATGTTACCACACCAACCTCTCACTCGATGGGGGAGCAGAGAGGAGGGGGGGAGGCTCCACTGCTAGTGCTGTATAAAAAGCCAAGCCTGAGAATCCGGCACCACAAACTCACCACACATACACACATACACACACACACACACACACACACACGCACACACAGATCCAGTGGCTGCTCTGTATCTCTCACACTCACCCACTCTCATCATTTTCTCTCTCTCTCTGTCTCGCTCCCTCTGTCTCTCACTCCATTCCTCTGGGCTCTGCGTCCTTCTTGCTTCTTCTCACAAGTCAGACTGTGTTTGTAAGTACGTGGTGAATGTCTCCCTGTGTATGCTTGGGTTTCCTTAGGTCTTTATGTATGTGTGAGTGACTGGTTGCCTACTTTAGTGTGACTGAGCAGAGCAGCAAGGAGGATCAAGTGTATGTTGGTCTCTGTCTCACCCTCACACACTCACCGGTTCTCTTGCAACTCTTCTCGGGATCTCTGGATCCCTTTCCTCGGTGACAGGCTCCCCACACCAAGCAGTCAACATTTCCGCCCCCGGGAGACCCACGCTGGCAGCGCAGCCCCTTCCCCGACTCAGCATCGGGAGGAAGACCCTGGTGGCGGCTGCCGTTGGGGTTATGCTGGTCCTGGTGCTGGTGGTCCTCATTCCTGTGCTCGTCAGCTCTGTGGGTACAGATGCCAGCCACTATGAGATGCTGGGCACCTGCCGTATGGTCTGCGACCCCTACCTGAACAAGGGAACTCCAGCCAGCAGCACCAGCTCCACTGGTCTCCAGGCTGAAGCAGAAGCACTGAGTGACCACAGCAAAGTTTATCCACCCTCCACCTTACTGCAGGGCCCACAGGGGAAGCCTGGCAGGCCAGGCAAGCCCGGACCACCCGGACCGCCGGGAGAACCGGGGCCACCAGGACCAGCGGGGCCTCCTGGTGACAGAGGTGATCAAGGAAGGACTGGGATTTTGGGTCTGGGAGGAAACGGAGCTATAAGCACGGCCACCTACAGTACGGTGCCCCGGGTGGCCTTCTATGCAGGGCTTAAGAACCCCCACGAAGGCTACGAGATCCTCAAGTTTGACGACGTGGTTACTAACCTAGGCAACAACTATGATGGTATTTCGGGCAAGTTCATCTGCAGCATCCCGGGCACATACTTCTTCATCTACCATGTGCTGATGAGAGGAGGGGACGGCACCAGCATGTGGGCAGACCTCTGCAAAAATGGCCAGGTTAGTGCTTTGAAACTTTTTCTAAGTTTCCTTTCCTCCGTGTTAACATACCTGACTCCTCTGTTGCTCACTCTCCTCCTCTCACGCTATGGAGCTCTCGCTTAAATTCCCACACTGTAGGAAGCTGATTTTTCATAAAGCCAGTGAATGCAAAGTGACATTGTGAGGCAAGCGCCTCCAAAGCCCAGAGCGCACAGCTGTGGCACCCGGCGTGCCTGGAGATAAAGATGTGTTGACTGGTTGCAACCCGCGTCCCCTCACTGCATGATGCGTCCTGACATTGCCGCATCCCGCGATCCGAGGGACGGTCGCCGTTTGGACTGAACGGGAAGTGCGCACCGATCTTTTTGGCGTTCATCAGGCGTTCCGTTTATTCTTGAATCAGGATCAGTATCTAGAGGAATTAAATGACGGTTTGTGCTGGAGTGTTGGCATTTACAGTGTTTTAGAGTGGAAAAGCTGGAGTGATAATGCAAAAGAATCAGCTGGAGAGGGAAATGTTTGTAATGTTATCATTAAATGTTTCCTGCATTTTATGATAAATTCTACTGTATTTTGAGTTGTGTTATAATCGAGCCTTTATTATTATTATTATTGTTATAATTATTATTACTTGCATTGACGTGTGTACACCACTTACTTTCCGTTTCTGCTATTACAAATAACTTACACAACTTTTAGACTATGTGGGCTTTCGTGGCTTGTCTGCGCTGTAATTGTAAAAGGGAAGGGGGAAATATTAGAAATTTTGCTGACAATATTCGGACCATACCTGTTTATCACCCACCAGATTAAGCATCCATCCAGTTTTTGCGGTCTTGTTAAACGCATTAGGGCGTCTACGTGATCTATTCCTGGCTTCTTTGATGCATCATTTTAATGGGGCTCTAATTTTATTTTGCGCCCCGGAGGGTCTTCTCAGGTTGGTAATGTGTGCCAGTGTAGTTCGCAGCCTTCCGATCAGCCGTCAGATATCTTATCTTCAAAGTGGCTCCGATATACGTTTTGGTTGTAAAAGATGTTAAACTACAGTTATTGCAGATATTGCAGATATTATTTCTTTGTTTGCTCAGGCTGCAACTGTATCTCCATCATATAGTTATATGCAAGTAGCATGATAAACAAGAAAAAGGAAAACGTATTCATGTAATAAAAAAAAGCAACATGTCATTTAAAAAAGACTTTAAAGTGAGTAGTTTTTACATTTGATCCTGCAAAACCTTTCAATGACATATAAGGACATGTAAAATTGCAATACTTTATGAATACTTACTCAAATTCATTTTGTTTTAAAGTGTATTGTTTGTTTAAAAATAATGAGAAAGTAGAAGTTGTGGGGTTTCAAGCAATGCATTTCACACATTGCCATGCTTTTCTAATGCTTCACAAGCTCACCTAAACTTAATTTCCTACCACCATAATCTTTGTACTCAAAGTAAATTGTACACATGGAGACACTGTATTGTAATGAGAAATGCTGCTGCTGACAGACATTTTTCATACTTTACAAGATAAGTGAGATCACACAGAAAATACATTATAGTCTTTTTGTATATTCGTTTGTTCTACTGTCAGAAACATAGAACCTTGCAATGACATAAGGTAAATAATAAATATAAGTTAAAATCCACAAAATCTGATCCTCCAGCTGTCATTTCACATCCTTTTCACATCTGGCTTTAAAAAAATGTTTTTGGCAGTAGAATATTAAAAACTCATGACAATTAATACGCAGAGCTTGGTTAAAGCAGAAAGCTGTTGGGGTCGGTTTAAAAATACTGGGACCATGATATGTGCAGCATGGAGATAAAATAACAGTTGGTATCAGCTCTGTGGCATGAACCTGCAGTCTCACCAATGCAGCTACAGTAGAGGTCAATTCCTTTACCCTCGCCAAGTTCACACCCAGCAAGAAAAAGAGAGTTACAGCAATCACCTTCTATTTATAATGTCTCACTCAACAGTAATGTTTATGGGTGGGCGTAAAAGCATTGATATATAATAGAGGATGGAGAACATATGTTCCTATAAAACGCCTTCTGTTCCCGCTTCATTGTGCTCCCAAGAGGAGGGCGTGGAGGTACTTAAGTTAGGCACACACAGTGTGCCTCTCCAGAGACCCACGTAATGTTTATAAAGTGGTAACTGCTTCTCTTTTGCTGTCTTCTTCTGTCCTATGCACAGCTCATACATGAACACACCGTCCTCTTGCTATGGTGTTTATTAGGTTGTCTGCTTGGCTGATGAAGAAGACCCCAGAGCCTTAGTCTGTGTAAATGACTGTGAATGGTTATAAATGTTGGGCCAACTTATGCTACATCATTGATGAAGTGCTGAGAGTCAAACTGAAGCTCCTGAAGTCACACTGCTGCTTTCCTCAGCTCATTAAGGCTTCACAAAGCTACACAGCGAGCTGGGACAGGGGGGGCCAGGGAATTGCAGACAATGCTAGTATTTTATCATCTTTTGGCTTTAGTGAAGCGGCATGTTTCTAGGCCCCGCAGTGCTATTTCACTCCAGCATGTGCTCCTCCCACTCCAGGGGTTCTACAAGCTGTGTCTAACATCAACATCCTTGGGTTACTTTTCTTCTCTTATTCTTCCACTTTCCCTTTTCACTTTGCAGAATGAAACCTAAGAATCCCAACACTGTCCCCAGCACTTTTGACGCTTTGTAAGCTAGACCAAAAAGTCAGCTTCCTGGTAAACAAACAAATAAGAAATCTATTTTCAGCACTGCAGACTTTATCCGCTTTCTAAGTTCACCTCCACACACTCTTTTGAGTTCTTATCCCCTGTTCTTTTACTTGTGTGCCAGATATTCCAAATCAATCCTAAACTCTCTCCAGTAAATCAATGCATTGCTCTAACCTGTCTTGGACACATCCTGAGAGACACAGCAGCAACAATGAAGACAAACTCATTGGACACAGTAGAAGGGTGAGAAAAGAAAAGAGGACAGAAAAGACATAGTTATTGTGCTATTGTGCCATCGAGTCTATTTAATTGTAATTAAAAAGCTTGAACCAGATCCAGGATGTGTTTGCGCTTCTCCTCTCCATTCCCTTCTTAATATTGTTATTAATCCGCAAAACCGTTTCAGAGTTAATTAAAAGCAATGACTTCAGCGTCAGTCTCTCAAGAGGACCATAGTGAATAATCACTCTGTCTCCTCCTTTAATAAGCTTCAACATCCTTCGTGCACATGGCTCTTCCCTAGCAATTACTGCTGCAGTCTCCTCCTCACATACACACACATTCACACATGCTCACACACACGCGTACACGCATGCTTGCCCCCAGTTCCCACCCTCCTTACCCACTGCCTCTACCCACCCCAACTGTGTACTGCCCTCCATCTCTCCTCTATGTCACAGGAGCTCACTTTTCTGAGGGAGAAGAAAGTTTTCATCCTAAAAGGAAAAGTTCTTTTAAAAAAGCAGAAAAGCAGAATCCAGATTGCGGCATCACAGGATCGATTTGCTAACACAGAATGCCATCAATATTCTTCATTGCTCTCAAGTGATGCATTGCACTATAACAGAATAAGTTGGAGCGTCCTATGCTTTTCTTAGATATTGTTTGTGCGCTCACCTCGCTAGCAAAGACAAGACACTCTTTTTCACTTTTAAGTGTTGCTTATGTTCAGTCGCGTGTCATTTCCCTGTCATACCATTTGCCTCAGTCCATCATAGACACCTCCAGGGGGGTCTTCAGTCCTGGTGCATATGAACACAAGACTGTTTATCCTGCTGCTTTATATCCAGGTGAAACCCACGCATTGTGTTTAGCATCCTATCCCAGGATTAAACATAGGAACTGAGCCATCTGCTCTGTATGAATGGGTTATTGACATTATTGCTCAGGATGCGCTGTGGTGTTTGTTTAATTTTTTTTTAAGGTAAAGGTATTGTATTAAGGTAAAGTATTTTTCAGTCCAAAGATTGAAAGAAAAAAACAATTAAGCTTTTCTAGGACTAAACACACGAGTTATCTACACACATAAACAGCAATACTTAGACTTGATTGATTTTAACATTCTGGTAATGTTCAGACCTGCTATTCTTCATCGTGGTCTGACTTCAGCACTGAGAGGCCTCTGTGTGAGTGCCTGGTTTAACAGAGAGACTCTGTCTGAAAAAGACAGACAGGGTTTGAGAGAGCCACCCTCAGTCCCTCAGCATCTTTGCCTGTGGTATTGATCCTCTTATGTGTATGTGTGCATGTGTGTTTGTGCATGTACGTGTGTCCCTTTCCCTTTTCTAACAGACCCATCTCTTTCTGTGTGATGTATAACGTGGTATTTCTTCTATAATCAGCCAGAGAGGTAGCGGAGGCGGACCTTTGGCCTTGATCTGCTGTGTAATTGGACATTGGATTTGACACTCTGCCGAGTGGAACATTAGAGCTGGCCTAATTAGGTGCGAGGGCTATCAAATGAAAATTGGCCCATGTTGTTAGGAAATACCACACAGATTGGAAATGTCAAGATGACATCGGGCTGTCATCTGCAAGCACAGTAAAGAAAATCTATCATTTGTTGGTGAAGTTTCAAAACTTGCTTGAAAACTGCCCACCACTTGTCTGTAATAATTAAATTACTTTAAAACATTTTATACTGAGTTCCTGAAATAGAGAGCCATTAGAGCCCAGGAGAGCACACAATCCCCGCGCTGGCATCTCAGATTAAGTAGCTCATGAAACACGGCTATAATGTCTCGTGTATTGTGAAAGCGAAAACATACAGTCTAAAATAGGCTATGGCTGGCTGACTCAAGGATGCTATGGTGTTGACTCACAAGGCTTCTTCATTATAATGAGGGCCATATGGGAGATGGACAAGTGCCCCTGGCCCTCTTATGCAAACATCTCTCTCTCCGCCTCTCCCCACGCCCCTGACATTTAGCTGTCCCCCGGATTCAGTCTTCAGTGATACCAACAATTATCCTCTCCCTCTTCACAGGAAAACAGTCAATGGCTTCTAATGACTCACAGTCTGCT